CCAGAATATTTGTTTGAGGGCAGCTATTTGATTCCATCTGTTGACTTGATTGGCATCGTCAGCTACTGCTCGCTCCGGAAGACTTTTTAACGCACTACTACTTAAAAAGTGACCTGGAGTCAAAGCTTCGTAGTCGCTGGGGTCAGACGAAAGTGGTGATAGAGACCGAGAATTTAGAACTGCTTCTATTTCTACCAAGGCTGTAGTGAGTTCTTCGTATGTTAATTTGGTATTTAACTGCAGCCTCCCAAATGCCACCATACTGAGGTGCTCTAGTAGGGATAAAATGAAAATTGATAAATTGGTTAGCGCAATAATTTATGATGACATCTTTGGTTTCTTTTTGCTGCAAGCTCCGACGACATTAGTTGCATTATCAGAATAAATATCTGATGGCAGACCTCTTCTTCCAGTCATTCGTTTGAGTGATGCCAAAAATGCATCTGTGGATAAGTCAGAAACGACTTCGATGTGGACAGCCTTTGTCGCGAAGCAAACAAGTATGGCAACATAAGCTTTATAGGGTACCTTGCCCCTGATGCGAAGATAGATGTTGACAGGTCCACAGGAATCGACGCCGCAACAAGAGAATGGACGCGTTGGTGTTAACCGCTCAACGGGAAGATTACCCATCATATGTACGGAGTGTTTTTCTATTTTTCAAGTGTGTATATGTAAAAAGTGCTCGTAAGTATTAGTGTGTAAAAAATACATTTTWAGACCTATTACTTTGGTTGTTTGAACAAACATATTATAATAAAAGTGTGATTTGCTGTTGTTTAAGATTTTTCAAACAAAAGCTTGGTTTCTAAGCAGGATATAGTGCGTACGTTGCCTACGCCTGAACATCCACCAGGAACTTCCCAAACACAGAGCAAATTTATTTTTAACGTTGATTTTTCAAATTTAGATGTGCGTTAAAGCTAATGTAATATTTCATTTTTATTAAGTTAAGTTATAAGTGGTTTTCTGTTATTTTTATTGAAGTAAAAATATAAATGAATTAAAGATACCTATGCTGTATAATTTTCCAAAAACATGTTTTTTTTTAAATTTAACTGATATGTTCGATAAATATCGGAACCTCCCTTCAGTGTCGAAGGCTTTCAAACAGTTGTCGAAGCCTCCCTACTGTGGGAGGTTTCGTCATATCTGGGTTCTCATAGTAACTTGATTATAAGTTGGAAAACAAATGGAAGAGAAGACTAAAAATGAAAGGAAAGGATAATATACATTCATATCAACAATATTTATGAGAGAAAGTATCTTCTCTTACTTTGGTTTCTCTAAAAAGACGTATTTTCTCTTAACGTGTCGAAACCTCCCCCTTCTACCCTACCAATACTTTCAATCTCTATGTTGTGTTTGCTACGTGGAAACATCAGTTTTTGTGAAAATTCTTGAGTTATGAAATTAACTTGTGAGCAAGAATCCAGCAAAGCTCGGCCAAGATGATAGTTTCCGGAAGCGTCGCGAACTAGAACCTTTGCTGTGGCGAGGATGATGTTGTCAAAGGATAACGAATGTTTCATGTGTGTATGAACAGCGGATGTCGAAGTAGAATTTGACGAATCTGGTGTATTCCTAGGATGTAACAAGGTATGGTGTTGACGATAACAAATCTTACACTTATGCATTGATGCGCAGTTCGATAACTGATGTCCCCTTGATAAGCAGTTAATACATAGAGACAACCTTTTTGCATGGTCAAAGCGTTCCGACACACTAAGTGCCTTAAAACGGTCGCAGTTGTTTATTTTATGATTGTTGCTGGAACACGTCGAACAACATGAGCTGAATAGCCTCTACATAAAGGTTTTGCTTTATGCGTGTTGGAAGTGCTTTGGTGTATATATCCAACGTGTGAGCGTTATCAATTGAGTCTAGGTACTGGCAATGTCTCTCCAAAATGTGGGTGCAATTTTCCCAGTTCGGCAAAGTTTTAAAGTCCAGAGACTCTTTCCATTTGCGATTGGCTTCTTCATCTGCCTTCTGTTAAACTAAATAAATAAGCATAGCTTATGAAATTTGACTTTCAGTTCCCAATGACAATAACGAGCCGTAAATTGCAGATGCCTTATCAATTAAACTTCTCAACTGACCGCCATGAGGCTTTGAAATAGACGAAAGCTCAAATAAATAGGAAATGTTTTCTAAAAATATGAGAGCTGGATTGTCAAATCGAGTTTTGAGTCTCTCGAATGCCTTCAATTAGTTTTCATTGGAAACTTAAAATGCGTCAATAGTTTCTAATGCCGTTCCATTGAGACAGTTGCGTAGATGATTAAATTTTTCTATGTTAGATAAGCTATATTCTCGATCAATAATTTGCTGAAAGGAAGTTATGAAATTTTGATATTCTGAGTACTTGCCATTGAATGTAAGAAATTTGAGTTTGGGCAGCTTCGATCCTGCTTACATTACGCAAGTGGTGTCTGAGAGTGTGGTGTTGGAATCCTCGGTAACTTGAGACTGAATAATTAACTTTGTGGTTATATACAGCTCCTCAAGATCAATGCGACCATAATCCTCATTATCTATCCTTTCAATTTCCGTCTGTGTAGACAACATAAGATTSCAGAATACCAAGTCGGCATTTGTATTCGATTGCTGAAAGTATTTTAGCACCTAGCCGTAGACTGGCCTCGACAATATTTTTTATGCGAGAAATATTTTTCTTAATATTAGCCCGTTGTTATTTGAGCTCTTCCAAACACATGTTTAAAATGTTCAAAAATTTACGAAAAAATTCAAAAATAAATTGTAGGTTTGTTAAAAAACGATATAAAGTTTGCGATATAACGACGAATGAGTATGACATAAATAGTTTAATACTTGCGATTAGATTGCTTTGAATCCAGAATCCCGCTCAAATGGTTCGTTGGGTATAAACGAATATGTTGGAAGCTGCAGCGAAATGCGACCAAGTGTGACCAAATAAGAGCGACGAAAGAATTGMAAGTGCAGCGGCAGCGATGCAATGTGATGCGTATCAGCGATATTGACAGCTAAGCAGCGAGCAGTAGAAGCGACAGCGAATCGAGTATTTCCAGTGCAGTGCGAGAGTAGCAGAGACGACAGACGTTCGCAGTGGCAGCGAACAGCAACGATGGAAGAATTGGCAGAAGCGACGGCGTTCAATTCTGAACAGTGCCGAGCAGCGGTGTATAACTGATTTAGGTTTACAGTAGGRTATTACTATACAATACCTTAGTTTGTTAATACAATTGAGTCTGTTCTCTTATATATGAGTAACTAAACTTAAAATAACTTAATAACTAATAGRGTGTAACGTTAGTTGACCCAACAGGTTTCACAGATCTTTTAAGCTATTTTATTTTGTAAGGACTTCCCAAAGAAAAACAAAAAATACGAAGGATATCTCCTTTATTTATTATTAAATGTATAGATACAACCCAAACAAGTAAGAAAGTGCTAAGTTCGAGTGAAACTGAACATTTTATACTGTTGCAATTTATCCGAATCAATGCCAGGGAAATACCTTAAGACGTAAGACATCAATAAGATATACGACGACATTKCCATAGTTCAGCGAATTAAAACACAGCGGCTACGCTGGCTAGTTCATGCAGTCCGAATGAATGAAAATACTCTAGACTGAAAGTATTCCACGCAGTACCCGCAGGGGAAAGCAGAGGAAAAGAAGACATCCACTCCGTTGGAAAGACCAGGTGGAGAAGAACATGGCTTTGCTTGGAATATCCAATTGGCGCCACGTAGCGAAAAGGAGAAACTACTGGCGCGCTGTTGTTATCTCGGCTATTATCTCGTAAGTGGTATCTACGCCAGTAAAGAAATAGAAGGGACTTCAGCAGTTTTAGTGGGATTCGGAAAATTTTTAGTCATAACGGGGCATATTTCACAAGTACTATTAATTCAAAATTTCATTTTATAATTACTTCTTGATTTGTGCACAAACGTGGTTTTAATCTGAATTCGCCCATTTTCGCACTGTGACACAGGAACATAAGAGGAATGCCAATGTTAAGTTTAGCCTAAATTGGTGGATTGAGATATGTAATTTTTCTAAAAAGTGTGGAGTGCCACGCTTAACGTCCAATTTTCATACCTGCTCCCATAAAGCCTCCGCACACCATCTGGGAGGTAAAATTTAATGTCTCTTGAATAATTATATATTGATTTATTGGGCTCTTAGTAGTTTTGAATAGTTCTTTTATATAGGGGGTGAGCTGGATTATCTTCCGATTTAATCCCATTTTCATGCTGTCGGTAGCACTGCTGACTTTTGACAGAAAATATCAGTCAATGAGTGAGATATTTAATGAAATTTTTAGAGCGTTCTTTTCTGATAATGGTTGGTCTGTATGTTAGAAATGGGTTGAATCTGGTCAGTACTTTTTTTAGTCTCCATATAACTAATATAAAGATATACATTATACTACATGTGCAGAATGAACGGGCTCCCTTTCTCTGCCCCCAGTATCCACCACAAAACCATTCCCGTGTTTCCACCTTTATTTAAACCGTTCACATTATGTAGTCAATGCGTGATATTTTAATGAAACTAAAGTTTCTTAAAAATTAGKTATCACCTAAAACTAAGCGAGATAGATATAGGGTTATATAGATATAAATGATCAGGATGACGAGAAAACTTTAAATTGCAAGAGTATAATGTTCGGTTAGCCCTTCCTTACTTGTCTCCAAATAACTGAAAGCTTTGTCATACCAGTTTTCTTATCAAAAATAAGGAGGCTTCGTAGTGCAAAAAAGAGAAAGAAATGTTAAAAACATAGGTTATATTACAATAAAAGCYTTTTATTAGGTTTTCTTGTATAATTTTCCAGTCGAAAATAAGTTAAGAAATTAAACAGTAATCTGCCATCATGTGCTGATCTTATTAACATTAATACCTTTCTTCCATCACTTTTATGATGACGACGACTCCTCCACGCCATATTTTTCGACGTTCTTTGGTTATAACACTGCAAAATGTTAATTTTCAAACGTCGAATAAAAACTTTTACAGTTATATTTATTTAATAATTATTAGCGTAAACATCACACGATAAACTTATTATAATATTTKTATATTTAACATCCTGATGCGCAAAATTTTATATAATTAGAGTAGCTCATATAGTAACTTATGTCTGGAGACAAATAGCTTCATTTGTAAAAGGATGGATAAACTTTAATTTCTTGCTTATTATTTACTCACTAAGCATCCACACATATATACACATAACAAGTACAAACTCATTACATGTCAAAATATATAAAAATAATTTAGCGAAACTATTTATTTTAGTAATTGATGAGCTCGCTGATTTGCCACTGCTATTCGCGCTTCGTTCGACTCCCCCTGAAATTAAATAAAAAAAAGAGAAATTGTAAATTAAAATCGATTAAAACTCACATGTTTTATAATACATACAATATAGCATACAAATACATTTACCAATGTCTGTCTGTTCGGGCAATGTTTGAGTTCAAAGTCGGGGGCCTATATTAGCTATTGGAAAAGCCTTCTGATAAAAGAGTAAGAGTTCGGGTGAAATCGAACACTTTATACTTTTGCAAATTTCGAAAATTAATGGAGAGGACTTACTATCAGCCTTTGGCAAAACTATATGTTAAAAGAGTAGGAAAGAACTAAGTTCGGTTGCGAAAATTCCACATTTTTTATTATTACAATTAAATTTGGTTTTTATTAAGTTATTTCATATGCCATACACTCACTTAGTTGATTAGTTTTTTCTAAATCAACTAAAATATATTAAAACCATTTTGAAATTAGAAATAAGTGCTATAACCTCAGCCGAAGAGGCTAAATACAACATATTAAGTTTGTGTAGAAAACATTAATAAATATAATTATGGATATGATCATTGGACCACCGCCATCTTTATAATTTTACAATACTTACAAAACTTTCTCCATTAAATTTCACTAAAATATTACATTTGAACGAAAAACCGAATGTTCGAAAATATTTGTATTAAGTATATGGTGGAGCTAAGTGAAGTATTGACCCGATTCAATCCATTTTAAACTGGTGGCTACACTAGTAACAGGAAAGGATCCTCCCTGAAATTCAATAATATATCTTAAACTTAATCTGGCATTGTCGGTTAAATGTTAGTAACAGGCACGAGGCCTACGTATTCGGTATCTGGTGTCTGGGCAGTTTTGGTACGATTTCGAGAATTATAATTATCTCGCAACCTGGTGCTACAGGTTATCATARTTTTGTTCAACTAAGGGTTGTATGTATCAGATACAACTAATCGTGATAGAGATAGAGTTACAAATATATACAAATATATATTGCAAATGTGCAAGCGGTAATTTGAGAAAAAAAGTGAGATATTTTGATGATACCAAGAGGGTTTTTTATTACAAAAATATTAAATAAACTTATAAAATACCATAACTAAGCACTAAATTAAGATATAAAACTGTAATTCGTAGTAGCAAGGGGTACCTGTGGGCTAAAAATTTTTAAACGTTGGCGTGGGCCCGCCCTCTAACAAGTTTGTCATATATCCTAAACCGTTTAAGCTACAACAAAAATATGAGTACAAATCCCAAAGAACTTCTCCCGACAGTGTGAAAATGGATAAAATGGATTAATAACCCGCTCATTCCCTATATATCGGTACTGTTTGAAACTACTAAAACTACCAAAAGCGCAATCAATAAATAAGTTTTTCAATTTACATTAAATTTTACCCCTGAAATTTAATGAGAAAGCTCTTTTTTTATGAAATTACATATCTGAGCACTCAACCGATCGATTTCGGTTTTGAATAATCTCATACTCACATTACTCATGCTTGTACATAAAATAGCTACAACTAAGCGAAAACTTGACCTTGCCAGCATAAGTCCACTACCAGGATTTTCGAACATCCGGCTGACTTTTCTCCATATTATTGGTGATTGTTTGTGAGGTACCGTAATTAAACCCAGGGAACATTTTTTTAGTATGTGACATGATAATATTATTAGATAAAGTCGGGACGATACTAATCCAACTCCCATTTACTACATATTGTGATTTTCGGTTTTCTAACAAATTTTATGCCGAATTTGTCGGTAAGTGTATGAGTGAAATACAGTTCATGTATATATGTATGCAATTTTTGAGATTCCGATCCTCTGTTGATGTCTCTGTGCAAATGTGAATACTAATATATTCATTGCTGCTGGATTTGTACACTAAAAAGGGAAAGTATCAGATAGCATTTAAAATTGATGTATATGGGAAACAAGCGTGATTGTAGTTCCATTTCGCTCATTTTCACACTGTAACATAGGAATGTCATAATAATGTTTCGTACTGAATTTGGTTGAAATTGGTGTATTAGGTTCGAGATATCAGAAATTAACATTTCTCGCGTTWAGTTTTTTATTTACTGCACGTTGAGTAGTTTTTAACAAAACCTTTATATGGGGAGTGGGTGGAGTATCCTATTTCTCGCATTTCACCGTTAGGTGTAATAAGCATATTGCAACAGTATAAAAATATTTCGAAAGAATTCAACCTTCATTATTCACCCAAATTGGGAATGGATTTTAACTACCAAATTTGATGGTCCATAAGTGGATTGGATTTCAACACATAAGACAAATGAGGTTTAGATCAAAAAGAGGATTGTAATAACCTGATTGTAATCACTTTTGACATTACTCAAGTATACTCAAAAACATATTTTGAAAGAATTTTATAAATTGGATTCTGCGTAAGGTGTGTTAGGATTCAGAATAGCATTACATGTAGTATTTATATTGGATAGTCGAAACATTATTATCGTATTTTGTCAATAGATATCGTTAATGTCGTATATCTCCAGTGCTACCAATCACATTGTGTCATACCATACAGTGTTGGAAAGGTGAGATTTTAAGCTTCATGTGATTGGTAGCACTGGATGTATATGAATGCAACGACGTCTATTGACAAAATACAAAAATACTTTTACAACTGCCCAATTAAAGATTTTCGAACTGCCTTAGACCTGTCTCTTATACACATCTAGATGTGTATAAGAGACAGGGATGTATATGAATGCAACGACGTCTATTGACAAAATACAAAAATACTTTTACAACTGCCCAATATATAGTATTTCGTGTTTTTTTTTTTTTTAATAGGGGGAAGCAACTCAAAACTCACCCTCGCAACCACCAACTAAGAATTACTTCGTGGGAGGTACAATACAATCTCAATTTTGTAGAATCTGAAAAAGTAGCTTCTAAAAAATCCATGTCCTTTAAGTGTTTTCGTCAGATGGAAATCTAGGTCTCTGTCCAATAGTGGATGTCCGGTATAAGTCGATGGGTATAGCGCCTTTGGATGAGGAATTCCACCGCTCCTGCTACATTTTAGTGATATTGTTCCTCTTCTCTGTCTTTGCCAGCATTTTAGCATTTCAGCATGTCAATGGGCGGTACACTGGCTAATATTTCAGCAGCGTCTGTTCGGAAAGTACTTATTACCCGAATCGCAGAAACTGCATTTATTTCATTAGCAGACTCTTTTATATTCATTATCTGTATCAATACTGGAGCCGCATACAGTATTATGGAACTCATTGCTTTCTCTATTAAAAATCGCCGACTGGAACGCACACAACCTCTATTGGTAATCATTCTCGATAGAGTATTATAAATTTTATTTGCTTTACCGGAAGAAGTCCAGATGTTCACTAAATTTTAATTTGGAATTCAGTATTACTCCCGGATACTTCGGCTGCTGCTGTGAAATAATCTCGCWCTCCCTTATGGTGAGGCTTCTTATTATATTTCCGAACACTCTATCCATTGTGTCCTATCCATGCACAGAGTTTGGCAGGATGAAGGTTCTGCAAGTGGTATCTTTGGTTTTAAGAGCAGAACCAAATGCTGTACCTTCCACGAGTTGGGAAATACCTCTTCCCTTATACAAGCGTTGTACATTTTATCGAATGGTTAGGGCTTTGAGCTTATAGATTYCTTTATAGCTGTTGGTTATACTATCCCATTAAGGCGCTATGGTGTTATTAATTTTTTTTGCTATGTCCCATAGTTCTTCTTCCGCGAGTAACGGGAGTGACTCTGCGACTTCAATTCGTCGCTTGGCATAGGAAACCCGATCGTGTTTCGGGAATAATGTTTCAACGACTTTTCCCATAAAAGAGGCATGTTCAGGTTGCTGCTGCTCGGTTTTAAAACTCCACCTACAGATTTTGTAAGCAGTTCCCCAAGGGTCAATGTGTGCTTCTTCACAGAACTTCTCAAAACATGATTTTTTACTTCAGGTAATTACCGACTACACGACCTTCTTATGACTTAAATTGTTATCTAAGGCAATTTTTGTTCGTTTCATCCTGGTTATGCTGTAATCTTCTTATAGAAGATTGTACCAGCTCGATTAAGTTCCGCAGCTCTAATAATTTTCTCCAGCAACAGATTGGAGAAGTCGCTCGAAAGGGCGTCGCCTTGTCTGAAACCTCGTTTGGTATCGAACGGCTCGGGGGGTCCTTCCCGATGCTGACGGAGCTTTGGGTTTTCCTCAATGTCAGCTTTCACAGACGTATTTTAGGGGGTACCAAATTCAAATATCGCGGCATACATACACCTCCTTTTTGTGCTGCCAAAAGCAGCTTTGAAATCGAGGAAAAAACAGGGTGTGTCATTCTTTTTTCATGGGCCTTTTCCAAGATTTAGTGCATGAGGATTAACAGGTCAGTTTTTCTGTCTGCACATGCCTCTCGCAGTCTGTTTTCTCTACACTGCGACACGGCACTCCTCAACGAACCAGCTATTCTTTTGAATTTTTCATTTGCAGCTGTAGATAAGGAGTTTGAAATGACGTGCTCTCAGAGAGTGCGTAGAAAATCGGTCCGCTGTCTGTTGTGATTGCAACTTCTCGACGTCGAACCTTCCTTGTGTCTATTGACGTGCGTTTTTTGCTGCACAGAGACGGGTGCGAATCTTGGCTGCAACAAGGTACTGGTCGGGGTCGATGCTAGGACCTCGGAGCGCACACACATCTGAAACACTGGAGACGGGTCTTCCGTCTAACACAACATGATCGATCTGGTTGGTGATTTTTCGATGCGGAGACAAGCAAACAGGCTTGATGAATTTTCTTATGAGTTCAAATATAGTATAAAATGGTAGTTTTATACCCCATATCATGCTGCAACAAAATGGTTTTTGTTAAGTAATAAATTATGTTCAAGACAAATAATTTCTGAAATATAAAATTTAAAGTCGAAGTGATTGGGAAATTTCTTAACTAACACATATGTACATACATATGTATGAATGTTTTAACCGGCTTCACGGTGACTGATTCGCGGTGGCTTATTTGA